TTTTGCTAAATTATCCATTCTGAATGGTTCGTTTCACGGTGAGTTAAAAACAACCAAATGAAACGAATGAGCAATTATTAATTTGTCGGCCTTTTCTTTTTCACATATGCAAAAATTGTTATAATTTAAACTGAGAAAAATTGTGCAATGCTAACGGGAAAGTCATTTTAAGCATGATTGCAGTTACGAACTGCTGTTAAGTATTCGTTTTTTCTTTCAAAAATATTCGAATTTCAAAAATTTAATTTTAATTCCCACTTAAATTGCAACTTTGCAATAATCATATCTTCTTAAAAATCTTCATATTTAAAACTTCTACAATTAAATTTGATTAATTTCTAAAGTTTTAACACCAAACTACATTGATTGAGTGATTTTATAGCAAAGAGAAATTGCGTAGTTATTATTTTAATTGGAATTGGAATTGAATTAACAAAAATCATTACTTCCATTGCACTAAACCAGCAATTATTTGAATATTATCGCAAAATTTGTGGTTCCTGATGTGAAACTTTTTTGGAGCAATTCTACAAAACAATTTTTAGCACGAAACAATCGCATCGTAATTTATTAACTTTTTTACATGAAATTAGAAAATGAGAAAAAATAATGCAAAGAATACAGAATTCCCGAAATAAATTTGATTTGAACAAAGTCAAACAAAAGAAGTCAAGAAAATTGCAATATTAGTTAAATGTTAAAAAAAATGCTAACGATAATAATGAAATGAATAATAATTAATTATTTTAATGTTTAAGAGGGGAAAAAGCTTTTTTGCTACATTTTCATATATTTATGATTTATTTGCACAATGTATGTATGAATAAGCGATAGAAGAAGTAATCAAAATAGGGCATGACCACTGGCTAATTGGTAGGATAGTTTATGAAGGAGTGGACAAGGGCCAGATCTGAGGTTAAAATATGGATGGACAGATGTTAGCAAAGGTTTATGCAAATATTGTTGTTGGTTAAGTGGAAGATATAATGCAAACATAACCTAATGCTACTAATAAGCAACATGGAAAGAAAAAACAAATTATATGAAAGAAAAAAACTGTATCAGGAAAAAAAAAACCGAATAAAACATTTGACAACTAAACTAGAAAAGCTTGGGTACGGTATTATAATATTTAGTATGATATTGCATGATAATTAAAAATCACATTTTAAAAGTATTAATTGACGATTTTTATTTCTAATAACAAATAGTAACGTGTGGAATTAAATATTTTATTAGAAATCAATGGCGTTTAATGGAAAAATTTGCTATGTTAAAATTATTAATTTAAAAAAGATGGAATCTGTCTTAAAAAATAGATAATGTTAATATGATCAAATTCAAGTCAAAACAGTTTGAAGGTTGGAAAACTAAAAGCCAACATTTTTGAACATTTGATACTTCCCAAATAATTCCAATTTTTCCTGCTGCAGGTAAAAGTTAAACAAAAAACATGGTAGTTTTTTCTTCAGTCGATTATTTGAAAATTTTTAAATCGCTGTTTTTGTTTGAACCATGTGAAAAATTTTCAAATTGCCATTTTATGTAAAAATTTTTGCTTAACTTTGTTACGTAAAGGCGATTATCAATTTCGTTTATTAGGAACGCCCTTAAAAACATTTGGTTGTTTAGGCATTTATTGTTAAAATGAGTAATGTGATATATCCTAAATTAAGATTTTAATAAGTGGAAAAGTAACGAAAATAAAGAAATAATTGGTACAAAAGAAATACCATCACTACGAGACGAAAATGGCTATTGTTGAAAGGACTTATTCCAAATAAGTAAACAGATATGTAATTGAATAAAACGAGTGAATCAGTAATTCAAATGATTTAGTATTTCAATGAAGTGCTATAAATTACAGCTTGAATCATTAATCAACATGTATGACTGCCCAGAATTATTAATGAGAAAATTGTTTCTTAGTGATAATGATTACCAGTAATTGTAAGTAATAGTAAAAGTTACTAATTATCAACATGATTACTAAATTTTCAAGATTACAATATTTTTTGAAGGAGTTTCAATGACGCGCTTAAATAGATATTTAAACCTTTATCAATAAATTCTGATAGCCACCGGAAAATTGATCTGAAATTACAGAAGAAACGAGATAAGTTACTATTATTACTATTATCATTTATTATTATCATTA